AGAGACGGGGTCTCGCTCTTGCTCAGGCTGGTTTCGAACTCCTGAGCTCAAACAATCCGCCCGCCTCAGCCTCCCAGAGTGCTAGGATTACAGGCATGAGACACCGTGCCTGGCCTACAAAAAAAAGTTTTTAATTAATGGGGCATGGTGGTGTGCACCTGTAGTCCTGCTACTCAGGAGGTTGAGGCAGGAGGATCGCTTAAGCCCAGGAGTTTGAGGTTGCAGTGAGCTATGATGATGCCACTGCACTGTAGCCCAGGCAACAGCAAGACCCTGTCTCAAAAAAAAATTATTAGTTTAAAAAAATAAGATGTTGGAGTCCTAACCTCCAATACCTCAGAATGTGATCTTATTTGGAGATGGGGTCTTTTCAGAGGTAATGAAGTTAAAATGAGGTCATTAGGGTGGGCCCTAATGCAATATGACTGGTGTCCTTATAAAAAGGGGAAATTTAAAGACAGACACACATACAGGGGGAAGAACTCCACGTGAAGATGAAGTCAGAGGTCAGGATGATATGTCTATAAGCCAGGGAATGCCAAGGATTGCTGACACCCACCAGGAGCTGGAGAGAGCCCAGGAACAGATTCTGCCTTGCAACCTCAGAAGGAACCAACCCTGCCAACACCTTGATCTCAGATTTCTGGCCTCCAGAACTGTGAGACCAGAAATTTCTGTTAATCCACTTAGTTTTTGGTACTTTGTTACAATAGCCCTAGCAAACTGTTACAGTCTCTAATAAGCATCTGGCCCTTCGAACTCCATCTCCGTCTCTGTTTCTGGAGAAGCTGACCTATGGCAGCTGAAGGGGGCGGGGCTAGAGTTGGAGACACCAGAGAGGGGTATAGGGCAGCAAGAACAGTTGGTTTGGGCTCCCGAGCAGTGGAGACAGACATATGCTGGGCTTGGGGCTTGGGCAAGTATGAGGGTAGGGAGGTAAGCAGTGGCTTCTTTCTTCTCAAGCTCCTGAGAGCTGTCCACAACAAGAGGCACAGCCTTTAGCACTGGTACTGGGACCCTCCGCCCCTTGGAGGTTCAGCTGCTGACTGTACAATGAGAAGCAGGTGGCGGGAGCCAGCCTGGGAGCCTGGCACATGGCACATAGCCTGTGTTCATTTTCTTCCTGGCAGGCTGGGCTCCTGCCCAGGCCCAACTCCAGGTGCTGCTGTGGGTATCAGAGGGGGTGCTTGAGAGCTGAGATGTGAACTGTCAGGACAAGGCTGTGCACCCACAGTCCTGTTCCTGGGCCTCTGACACCTCAGGATGCAGCATACTACTCAAAAATTAGCTACTCAAAGGCCTGCTCTGCTGGTACAGCCTCAAGAGTTTCGCAGCCAGGTCACCTGTAGATTACAGGTACCCAGTCGTGCCCTGGTGTTGAGACAGGTGCTATGACCCAAGACTTCAGCCAAACCCCTTGCTGTAGCCCTGGCCCGGCCTGCTCCCAAAGCCCCAGGTCTCCCCAGCCCCTCGGAAGTGCTCATAGTCCAGTGCTCTGCCCCTGGTCTGAAAGAATGGTAAAAAAGTCTCTAAGCCCAGGCAGGGTCCATTGAAAGCAAGCAGGATATGGGGGAGCCCAAGGCTTTAAATCCAGGAAGGGCCTCAGGGGCAGGAAGATGGGCAAAGCCTGCTGAAACACTCTCCACTGCCCTCAGTCACAAGCTTCATCTGCTTCCCACTAGGGTAGGGACTGGCCCAGGGCATGCCAGGGACCCTAGGGGAAGGGATTACCAAATTGTTTACCCTTCCTCCAAACCCTATACTGGCTCCTGTACAGGCTGTGGGGTAGGGATGCAACCAGAAGAGTTTCCCTGCCCCATGAGTTTACTGCCAGTACCCACCTCAAGCCCCCAGGAGCTCCTGGACGGTGTCTAGCTGGGTAGTGGCCAAATACCTCTGGCCGTGGAGGAGAATAGGTGCCCTCTCCAGGCCCTGGATCCCTCTGGGGGACAAGCCTGTAAACTGCCTGCCTCCCCAGCACCTTTTAAATTCCTGCAGTATGTGACAAATACCACCATATTGCATTTTATTTCACAGATTTGGAATTAGGGCTACTTTTCCCAAAAAATCTGCATTTAGAATAGTGCAATCAACTTGTAAATTTATTCAAAACTTGCAAGTGTGTGTTTGGATTTTCTTGAAGAAAGTTATTTGGGGCTGGCTGGTCTTTTCCCGCCCAGTGCAAGCCTCCCTGAGCCCAGCCAGGCTCTCTCCGGGGGTGAGAGAGTGCTGATCCCCTTTAAGTCAGCTGGCTCCCATACAGGGTGTGGCCAGCTGAACCCCCTGATCTCTACCCTACACACACCAGGGGCCTCTCCCATAAGGCAGTGTGTGTTGCAGCTCTCCAGGGCAAGCAGAAAGAGGCCCACATGGGACTCCACAGGTGGGTTACTGGGAAAGGAGGCCCTCTGCTGCAGGTGCTCCTCTGTAGCTCAATGAGGGCTCCCAGGCTCAATGCTCTGGGCCAACAGGGCAACTGTTTGGGCGCACAGACAGCTTGGAAGTTCTGAAAGCCTGGGCTGCCTCCCTGGCACTGCAGGCTGCAAGAGAAGCT